GGGCTGATAGCAGGACTCGTGACATGTAATTAACACATCGTCTGGTCTCAGACCAGCGTTCTGTCCCCCTCCCACACAGTTCTGTGGAGAGTCGCAGGGCTGGCAAAGCTGCTGTGATGGAGGACTTGGTTAATTGTGAACGAGAAAAGTGTGCCAGTGAAGGAAGTCTACCCTCCATACCCAGAGAGAGATTATTTAGCACAAATACAGAGTGTATGTGATGCTTAAAGTAGAGTTTGAGTTTAACTTTGAATTGAGATAGCGAGTCTGAATTACAGAGGTTAGCTGGGAGAGAATTCCAAAGGTGAGGGGCAGCACGTCTAAAGGCTCTATGATCCATGGTGGTTAAACGAGCCCAGGGGTGTATGAAGCAGAGTATGTGAGCAGAGTGGAGCGGCAACAATTTCCCCTCCGTGCTCCAAGCATTCAATAATCACTCCGCTCCAGCTCCGCTTCGGGTTCAGCATTTTCTGCTCCTCTCTCCACTTGTCAGAAACGCCACTCCGCCTTCGCTCCATGAAGAAATTTGCGGCTAAAGTATTTCAGCATGTTTTGAAATATCACAAAGTTCTGTTCAGAACTTATATTAAACAAAAAATGAATACAGTATACTAGAAAAATAGTTTTAACATGGTTTACTGGGACACTACAATTAGCCCACGTCTATATTAAATGACTTTAACTCGCTTGTCTGTGAAGCGTCTCTCTACTATGGCGAACCTGAGGGTTGTAGTTACTACAGAAACAGAAAGAATATGTTGTAACTTTTCCATTTTTAAGCTGATAAGTCACAGTACAGTGTTGACAATAATTTTCTACACTCCTGAATGTTTCTATGTGCGCGCGATCTATACGTTGTGTGAGCTTGTGTGTTGTACACGTGTGCAACAATGTAGCAGCACATTAGTTTAGAAAGGAGATTAACTACCAGTACAATAAACTGTTTAAAACTGGAATTCACCCAATTAATATTGAGTATCCACATGCAACAAACAAACATGCTTGAGATATAACCTCCTGCACTCGTCCATCATCGTAATTATAACCTTCAACTTCTTTCTAATTCGAGTGATCCACGTATCTGACAAGCTAGCTAATGTTGTTTAATGCGTGAATTCTTGATAAAATGCAGTTATATTATGGGCTGTTGGCATTAATTGTGCTCGTGATGGAGCGGTAGTGGAATGCTCTCAGAGCGAGTGAAAACCACGATGCTCCAACTTTCAAAAAATCCACTCCTTGCTCAGTCAAAAATCACACCACTCCACTCCTCACTCCGCTCCCATACTCTGGCATGAAGGAGACCCAGTGAAGAGGAACGAAGAGTTTGAGAATGGGTATAAGGCTGTATGAGATCTGAGAGATAAGGTGGAGCGAGGTTATGAAAAGTTTTATAAGTGAGGAGAAGAATTTTAAATTCAGTGCAGAATTTGATGGGAAGCCAATGAAGCTGTTGAAGAGATGGGGTAATGTGTTGTATAGATGGAGTCCAGGTTATGATACGAGCAGCAGAATTCTGAATCAGCTGGAGTGCATGGAGAAGCTTGTGTGGTAAACCAAATAAAAGAGAGTTATAGTAGTCAGAGGTGACAAGCGCGTGAACAAGAATGGCAGTATTGTGCGAAGTGAGAGATGGACGGAGGTGAGCAATATTACAAAGATGAAAGTAACAAGACCACTATTGATGTGGGCTTCAAATGAAAGAGTGCTATCGAGGATGACCCCCAAGTTCATAACCTGGCGGGAAGGAAAAATGGAGGAACTGTCAATGGATAATGAAAAACTGCTGGAACTAGAAAGAATAGAGTTACTGCCTATAAGGAGTATTTTAGTCTTACTGCCATTAAGTTTAAGAAAATTGGCAGAGAACCAAACTTTTATTTCATGAAGACCGTAAGACAGACAAGTGGAAGAATGGAGTGAGGCTTTGTAGATACATAAAGTTGTGCATCATCAGCATTACAGTGGAATTTAATACCAAATTTAGAAAAGATATTACCAAGTGGGAGAATATAAATTAGGAACAATAGAGGACCAAGGACAGAACCTTGGGGGACACCACAGCTAACAGAAAAAGGTTGGGATTGAAAAGATTTTAGTTGTACAAACTGTGTGCATTTGGAAAAGTATGAAGTGAACCAGGCGAGAGGAATACCACAGATACCAATAGCAGATAAACAGTTCAACAAAATATTGTGTGAGATGGTGTCAAAAGCTGCACTCAAATCAAGCAGAACAAGAATAGATAAGGACCAGCAATCAGCAGCCATTAACAGATCATTAGTTACTCTCACAAGGGTCCTTTACAACACATCTTTTATTGTGTTGTAACAGTAGTCCAGTATTTTACTGTCTCTGGTGGGACATGTAACGTGCTGTCTGTATTTTGGCAGTTCACAGGAGAGATTTGCTTTATTAAAATCCCCAAGATTGATTAAAAGATAATCCGGGTACCGTTGCTTATGTCCAGTAGTTCGTTTCTGGTAAAACTGATGGTAAAAAAGGACTAAGCACACAACAAACATACAAAAACAGCCAAAGAATGGGAGAACTCCACACCGAGGCAGCCATTCACGGTGCATCTTGATTTCATTTTCAGACAAACGCTGAAATGTAAAACAAAAATAAAATCTACTTCATTACAGTAATGTGACAATTTGTAAATAGTCACGTCACACCCTGATACGCCTAGTGTATAAAAAGATATGGTATAATGTACAGTAAACCACATTGTTTACACTTATTTTAAATTTGTTTTGACAGTTTTGAACTTAGTTTGGAGAAATGTCTCATGAATAATATATGTTCTACCCATCAACGGATAAATATTTATTATTAGTCAAAATTAATGATAGGTTTTGGTATGTGTGTTGGTATGACTTTGTTGAATTTTTTTTTAGTTGCAATTAAGTACATTTGTCTCCCTGTCATTCCAATTTAAATTCCAATGCAACATCTTGTGGGGTGTAGCTAATTCAATTAAATTGGCTATATATATATATATATATATATATACAGTGGGTACGGAAAGTATTCAGACCCCTTTAAATTTTTCACTCTTTGTTATATTGCAGCCATTTGCTAAAATCATTTAAGTTAATTTTTTTTCCTCATTAATGTACACACAGCACCCCATATTGACAGAAAAACACAGAATTGTTGACATTTTTGCAGATTTATTAAAAAAGAAAAACTGAAATATCACATGGTCCTAAGTATTCAGACCCTCTGCTGTGACACTCATATATTTAACTCAGGGGCTGTCCATTTCTTCTGATCAGCCTTGAGATGGTTCTACCCCTTCATTTGAATCCAGCTGTGTTTGATTATACTGATTGACTTGATTAGGAAAGCCACACACCTGTCTATACAAGACCTTACAGCTCACAGTGCATGTCAGAGCAAATGAGAATCATGAGGTCAAAGAAACTGCCTGAAGAGCTCAGAGACAGAATTGTGGCAAGGCACAGATCTGGCCAAGGTTACAAAAAAAATTCTGCTGCACTTAAGGTTCCCAAGAGCGTATATACATGTATAAATGATTTAAGATGATTATCAAATTTCAGTATATTCCTCACACAAAGCCTATTGTTTGACTTCAGAACACATGGAATATGGAGTCTTGACTCATATGGACTACTTTATTGGAGCTTTGATGGTGTTTTTGTGGAGATTGACTAACATAGTCTGTCATTGTACAGAAAAGAGTAATGTGAAATGAGAGAATGTTCATTTTTAGGTGACCTATTCTTGATTCTATAAACTCAATGAGTGTGTCCTCCTAGTGCTGTGTCAAAGACATGCTGATTAATGGTTCATTTACTCTAGTCTGTGAAAGGCCTTTATCACTCTCATTTACACACACACACACACACACACACACACACACTGCAAACAATTTGTCTGAAGCCACTTTGTAAGTGTCCTTATTATGCAGTTGCTTAGCAGCCATAATCCAGCATGCCTCTGTGGAGTATTAGTGTGTAATTATCTGCCGTTTGCTCAATGTTTTGACCTTGCCAGCGTTCGTATAGATTTGCAGCAACCTTCCCTGACCTCCGCTAACCAGAAAACCATTGCATGCTATCATCCTTCATTCTCCTGGGACTTGCATGAAATAAGCAATGCCACTGCACCACTACTCAGAATTTGAATTTGAATGCATCTGCAATTGCCTGTGTCTCTAAATGTTCGTTCAGCCCCACTAAAGTCCCCGCGGGAACATCTGAAACATATGGAGAGCCGCAGTGATGTGAGGTGTTAAGGGGAGTTTCCACCATGAAATCAAAATGGACCCTATTTACTTTCTGTTTCACTTATTCGTCAGTGCATGTTATTCCAAATAACAACAAGTTTATAATTTTAAAAATGTTAAAAAAAAATTCTCTCTATTATACCCTGTGGTATTTGGACACTTTTGGACACTAAAGTCACAACTCAAAAAACAGGTTTCCTAGCTGAGTAATCATATATTAACTATGGACATGTGATGTTTGACAACCACAAAGTGTCCAAACACTTATTTTTGTGAAACATCCTGCTTTAAAAGTGCCTGTGCTACATTTCTTTCAAATAAATGTCACTTGCTTTTACCTTTTTGTTATGAACTGCCAAGACATTCATACATTTTAAGTGTCCAAATATTTTTTGGAGCCACTATACAGTATATAGGAATTGTATTAGATGACTGTTGTAGATAATGCAGTATTTCAAAAATCTTGCCAAAAGTAATTTAATGATGGGCAATGTTAATGTAATAAAGTCAACAGCAAATAATAATAATGATAGCAAAAATAATGATAAATGTGACAGCAAAATAATAATGATAAATGTGAGGGAAAAAGGTATGGGTATGGATAAAATCACACATTACTTTTTTTAATTTTTTGCTTTACTACAATTTATCTATCACAATAAAAGTGCACAATATGTCATGGAATACATCACATTATTACTTATTAACAGTATTAACATGGGTTGGGAATGTTCATGTTCATCAGGTTCCTCCTATAATGAGAAATCAGAGGGTAAGAAGAAAGGACGCCCTCGCGTGGAGGTGCAGGAGCTGCGCATTATTCCCGTGAGTAAAGCAATAAATATCCATTTTGGCTAGTGATGAAGTAATGAAGCTACGCCAGATTGGGATTTTGGGTGATTTTTTATGCCAATTGTGAAAGGAGTAAAGGGACTTTCCAAACTTCTTCCAACTGTTGTATTCGGAGAAAGAACATCTCACAGAGGCCTGTGTATAAGTGAATTGAATGCTAATAGTTTCTAATGGCTCTTGTGTGTGTGTGTGTGTGTGTGTGTGTGTGTGTGTGTTTCCTTGCCCTAGGCCCATATGATGGTTCAGTGGAAAGAGGAGTTTAAGAGTCGTTCCAGGGTGAAATGTCCATGCTCAGGCTGCTGGTTGGAATTCCCCAGTATTTACGGACTTAAATATCACTATCAGCGATGCCAAGGGGTAAAAACTAAAATCCAGACTCCACAGTCTTACAATACAAAATCTTGAATGCAACCAACACTCTTTTTTAAATAGGGATGTACAACACTATGTTAATTTAAAATCAGGTAGTCAGTGGGTTATATGAGTCTTAACTAAAAATAAGCTTGGTTTAGGATCATGTCTGCCAGACAAATTGAGGTCTAACAGTTAATTTATTTTACATTTCTTGACATCAGCAAATTTGTTAAGTGGTTTTTGGTGACTGTTACAGAGAATTAATTTATAGACAACTTCTGTGCTAAGCACAACACATTAAAAACTCTATCCTACATGATCCTTTTTACAAATATATTCATATATAATAAATATATTAAATATATATATTTTAAATGATAAATATATTGTTTATAATAAATAAATAATAACTACCATTCAAAAGTTTGCAGTCAGTAAGATTTTTTTTGAAGGAATGTCTCTTGTTCACAAAGGCTGCATTTATTTGGTAAAAATACAGTAAAAACAGTAATATTGTGAAATTATTATTACAATTTAAAATAACTGTTTTCTATTTGAATATGTTTTGTAAAGCTGTAAAGCTGAATTTTCAGCATCATTACTCCAGTCTTCAGTGTCACATGATCCTTCAGAAATCAGTATAATATTATTCTAATATTATCATTCCAATTACTACTGAAGAAACATTTCTTATTATTATCAATGTTGAAAACAGTTGTGCTGCTTGATATTTTTGTGGAAACTATGATACATTTTTTAAAGATAAATAGAAAGTACAAAAGAACATTATAAATGTCCTTTCACTTTTGAGCCGTAATATAATATAATATAATTTTCGCTTGGATCTGAGACCTTTGAACCTGACCTGGCTTTGTGTGTGTCTGTTTGTGTGGCGTTCAGGCGACTATAGCAGAGAAGCTGAGTCACAGATGCCCGTGCTGTGAGGCTGTGTTTGCCACCAAGGTACGTCTTCAGAAGCACAAGCTGTGGAACCACCCAGAAAGGGTCACCATGGAGACCAAGTCCGGGGTCACCAAATCTAATCCCAAGTCCGAACCCAAACAACAGAAAAGCCCTGTGAAGGGAAATGCCAAAAAAAGGTGTGAAAGCTCAGTTATCCTTTTCCTGAATGATGAATTTCTGCTGCAGTTTCTGACTTTAGTCACACACAACAAAAATCGCTTCAGGACATGACTTGTTTTCCACACTGCCATCATTAGATTCCAGATGAAGTCCTCTTGTGTTACTATAGCACCAGTCCTCTGTGGATTGACTTGAATAGCCTGTGTTCCCTGTGCTCCCTCTCAGGCCCACAGAGAACAGCCCTCCATCACCCTTAATTGTCAAGGTGAAGAAGACCCAGGAGGTGTCTCAGCCCTCTCAGAATGGGGAGTGCGCCCCCCTGAGGCCGGACAGGAAACAGCAGCAGGGGACGTCCGTAGACACTGGGGACAGTGAGAGCGAGGGGGGCAGTCTACCCCCACCCTTCCCTGAGGAGGACCCTGAGAGAATGAAGCACAGTAAGAATGCTAGACACTGAGATTAATGCTGCGCATGTCAGCTCTGAAACCCCTGTCCATGGTAATACCATGATATTCTGTGAAGTACCATATGTAATACCGTAATGCATGAATATGCTAATCATTCAGTACCATGGTATCACTACAGTACAATAAGTTTGGCCCGCTGTCCAGGGGCCGGTGTGAGAGACTTTGTGGCCAGTAACATCAAGTACTTGCAAATTTGAACATTTGGTTTTCTGTGACATTTGAATGTGAATTCTGCTTGTCAATTTTATGTTTTTTTTACTTTTCAGCCACATAAAGTGAACTAGTTAACTGACAAATGGTGGAAATGTTTTTTTTTCATACAGGATTACAAACAAATGACAGAAAATCAGTCATGTTTTATAATGTCTATGTACGCCATCCTTTTCCAGCAGGTGTTTACAATTTAAAATTTTCCTATATAATTTATAACTATTATTGTAAATCTTTGTAAAGTTTAAATTAGTTTTGTTCATCAAAAGTTATGTTCTTTGAAGTTCTTTACAAAAAAAAGTAACTCTATATACTGTGCATATGTAAATGTATAATAAATCATTTTAAAGTAATATTAAATAATACATGTAAAATTAATACATTATACAGTGGGGCAAAAAAGTATTTAGTCAGCCACCAATTGTGCATTTTCTGGATTTTCTTTTCTCATTTTGTCTCTCATAGTTGAGGTATACCTATGATGAAAATTACAGGCCTCTCTCATCTTTTTAAGTGGGAGAACTTGCACAATTGGTGGCTGACTAAATACTTTTTTTCCCCACTGTACATCTAAATATATGATTTACATTTAAATTCAATTTAAAGTTTATATTCATTTTTTTTTTATTTGTCATTTTTTGTGTTGTTTCCACCAAAAATGTGGGCAAAAACTTACACCCTATAGGTTATTTTTTACAAACAAAAGACAGTGTATACTGCATATGTGTAAAAAAGTATAGTAAAATAATGTTTTTTAATAATTTTAAATTAAATATTAAATAATAAATGTAAAAAAAACACATGTAAATATAAAATTATAAACTCAAATTCAGTTAAATTGCATTTTTTTTATATAATTTTTTGTGTTGTTGCCAGTTAAAATGTAGGCAAAAAAAGTTACATTCTTTAAGTTATTTACAAAAACATACTTTACTGTGTATGTGTAAAAATGTATAATAAATAATGAATGTTTTATTAAATGATTTATTTCAAATAATTAATCAGTCATTTTAAAATAAAACATTTGCAATTATATTATACATTTAAATACAATTTATTTATTTATTTTTATTTTGTTGTTGTAGTTTGCACTGAAAATATAGTCATTTGTGGAAAAATGTGAGAAATCTGTCAGATCTCAAATAGTCTGTTTGATTGAACTGAATGTTAGAAGAATAGAATGTTTCACATTTTCACAAAGACATTTGTATTTTTTTCACAAATGCAATTTCACTCTAAGTAATAAAACGTGCCATTGGGTGATCCTGCAAACTGTCATGTTAATAATGCATAACCAGATGTCCATCATCTAGAAAAGTAGTTCCAACCTCAAAAGGATGAAGTGCCCAGTACTCTATACTTTCTGTACTAACATTTTCAGGGTTCGGTCTCAAAATTGCTATAACAGTTCTCATTAAGACGTCCCAGAATGCCCTCATTGGCTCTTGTAGGAAAAGGTGGCCTGGCTCTTTAAGCAGCAGTGTGTAAGTTCTCTGTGTTAGATCCGTCTGAGGGCTGCTGGTCATTAAGTCTCTCTGGTAGCTGGTGGCGGTTGCTGTCTCTGTCTCTGCCTGGCAGAGACGCAGTGTGTCGAGATGTCGGCGTGGCTCGTGCTGTGAGTCCGCTATTTATGGCCTTTGTTTAGGTACACGATCCCTTCGTTTGTTGTTCCACGCCAGAGCCACACTGTAAAAAAAATTCCGTAAAATTTACGGTAAAAAAAACGGCAGATGTGGTTGCTGGAATTTTACCGTAAAAAAATACGGTAGCAACGTTTTAGGTTTTAAATTAAATTTACAGTTAAATACCGTAATTTAATTAACTGATATAATATACCAACCTATTGAAGTACTGAAATCAGTTTTGTATCTTTGTAATACACTGATAACCACCAAATGCAGGAGGTGATGAGAAAGTCACATGATGAACCAAAGCCCATCACAAGCAGCTTTTAAATACTAACATATATAGAAGGTGCACAGCGTCATTCACACAAACACTAAACACCATCATGGTGACACGCATGAAACTGAAATAATACAATAAACATTCATTTAACAACATTAGGTGTAACACACAACCCTAATATACAAAACTGATAAGAAAAAACTAAGAAACATAGTCATTTCAACAAAAAACATCAAATTTGAAATGTAACGCAGGGAATTCTGGGAATGTCAATTTACGGTTATTCACTGTAAATTATACGGTATTTTTCACTTCCAAAAACAGTATACTACCGTAACATTAATGTCCAATACATATAATGTCCAATACAGTTTTTCACCGTATATAGTAGGGGAATTTACCGTTAACCATTTAACAGGTTTTTACTGTAGCACAGTCTTTTACCGTTAAATTCACGGTCATTTTTCATTCAGTGTGTGTGTGTCCATGTCTGAAATGTCAGGAATAATGCACTAGAGCAGCTGTGTTTGTGTGACATAAGCTGACAGTCAAAGACTATGCAAACACATATACACATACAAACGGAGACATGTAACATATCCGCTCTCTGCTCCCATGACCGGTTCATGAAGCTGTGTCAGTTTCTCCACCGGAGGAACCGCAGCAGGTGCTTATTCTCCTTTGTTGTGCTGAAGTTTGAGCATCAGTAAGTTAGAGCTGAAGCTCATGAGCGTTGTTGTTTAGCACTGCATGTAGTCATGAATGTAGCTCTTTGCCTTGTTATTGAGATGTTTGACCTCTTGTTGTTGTTCTTCTCCATTTGAGCCAGGGAGGAAGCAGAAAACTCCAAAGAAGTTCACCGGGGAGCAGCCGTCTATTTCAGGAACATTCGGTTTGAAAGGTAACACAAACACACGTTTTTAGAAAACGGTGGAGACTTACCATGACTTCTGTTGTTCTCAAAGTCTGAATTAATTTGAAGTAATAATTAAGTTAATTATTATTGCTAAAGACTCATTTTAACCCTTTACTTTTTGCATTTTATGTGAAAAGGATTAGTATGTCCCTTTTTGAAGCTGTTTTCATTTTCATCCACACAGTGAGTTAGTAAACTCACTCTTCCTATCCTCACATCTGTTCTTCCAGCCAGTAAACTACATTTTTTATTAAGAGCCAATATTTGCCCTCTGGATTTAATTTTGAGGGGGATTTATTAGGGCACATTTTTGTAGCAATAAAAATAAACACAGTGTGCCATCCATATGTATAAAACTGAATCAGTTAAGCTGTATGGCAGTTAAAAACAAAACACATCAATCAACATCAAATAGAAAAATCTTTAAATATTTAATAACAGTATTGGTAAATGACTAAATAGTAGACATACTGCTGGGACACACAGAGCACAGAAATGCAACCCTCTGAGCCTTGAGCTGGAGCTGCACCACAAGACCCACTAAACCCAGAGGTGGAGCTGCATCTTGGGGCCCACTAAGCCCAGAAGCGCAGCTGCGCCAAAAGGCCCAATAGGGCTGTACAATCACAAACGAAATGTTTACATCAGACCTTGCTTCATGCTTTATGACATGCCTCGAAGAGAATCTTCTGAATTTCTCAATATTTAAGGCTTTTGGTATTGAACCAGTCCATCTTCTGTCTCAAAAATGAAGAAGTTCTCCATGGACTTCAATGTAGTTGTTGTTTCAGGTTCTAAACCCATATTTTATCTGATATTTGTAACTCTTATAGACCTAGAATAAAGAACAGCAAGTAAGGTTCTGTTAGTGAACATCAGTTAATGCAATTAACAATGAGTAATATATTTGTTACAGTATTTATTAATCGTAATAAAAATACAATTGTTCATTGTTATTTTAGCTTAGGTCCATTAACTAATATTAAAAGATACAACTTGTTTTTAATAATGTATTAGTACATGTAAATTAACATTAATGAAGGTCAATAAACGCTTTATAGCAGGGGTGTCAAACTCAATTCCTGGAGGGCCGGAGCCCTGCAGAGTTTAGATTCAACCCTAATTAAACACACCTGATCCAACTAATCAAGTCCTTCAGGCGTATTTGAAAACTACATGGTATGTGTGTTTGAGCAGGGTTGAACTAAACTCTGCAGGGCTCCGGGCCCTCCAGGAGTATGGCACCCCTGCTTTAGAAGTATCGTTCATTGTTAGTTCATGTTAACTAATGTAGCCTTATGGTGAAGTGTTACCAGAATAACAAATTCTGTCTTTTTAAATGACAGCAGGATTTATTACAGAGGCATTCTTTGCACATATCATTTAAATTTCTCTTTCATTTAATTTTTGTCACTTTTTTTTTATTACAATCATTGCCATGACCCCTTCTTTTTATGACTGACTGCCTTGCAGTGGTTTGTTGTCAGTGTTATATCAGAAGTGACTTTGACTTTCAGAATTTAGTCCTGGCCTCCTTTCAATAAACACTCCTTGAGATTTCAGTGGTATTTTTGCCCCTGTATGTTTACAATTATCAACTGTATACTCATAGTAATTACCCCTGTTGTTGCTAATAGGGGGTCTATAAGGTCTATTCTAGAAGTGTTTCATTTCCTGTTGAAGTTATAATGGTACATGTTCAAGAAACACTGCACCACAAGACTGACTACAACACAACACGCCTCTTTGACCACCAAGAGAGTTTGAGAGTTTCATTTTCTCATTTCTCTTTTGTTTGTTCTTTTTTTTTAGTCATACATTTATTTATTTGACTTGTGAGGTCTCTGCTTTCCCTGAATGTAATTTGTTATGTGTTGTACAGGAATGAATAAGGTGGAGGAGAAGTTGAAAGCAGGTCGGATGAAGAGGGCGGAAGGGGCTCTGTTCACCAAGGAGTCCCGGAGGAAGCAGTCAGTTCAAGCTCCCACCAGAAAAGAGACTGCTGCTATCAGTTCAGGTCTCTCTCTCTGCTCTGCCTGCATGTTTGCATGAATAAAATCAGCCAGTACATTTGTACTGCCAAAGCAGTGCAAAATAGCTCAAATAAAGCAAAATAGTACTAATAATAGTACAAGTCAAGTAAATAGTACTATTATGAAATAAAGTTAAAAACTCAAAAAAATAAATAAATGTAATGTATATGAAATAATATAGAAATGTACTCTACCGTTTGAAAGTTTTGGGGTCAGTATGTTTTTATTTATTTATTTATTTATCTATTCATTTATTTTAAAGAATGAGTGTCACCATACTTTTATTCAGAAAATTAATTAAAATGGTCAGTAAATGCAATTGTAAAATTACAAAAGATGCTGCTCTTTTTAACTTTCTATTCATCAAAGAATCATGGTTATCATGGTTTCCACAAAGATATTTTTGTTTTCAGCATTGATAATAATTGGATCATGTGTCACTGATGACTGGAGTAATGATGCTGAAAATTCAGCGTTGCACCACAAGAATAAATTGCATTTTAAAATATATTAAAAGTGAAAACAGTTCTTTTAAACTATAAAACATATTTCAAAATATTACAATTTTTATTGTATTATTTATTTATTTATTTTGATAGAATAAGTCAAGTCTTAGTGAGCATGTTTCAAAAACATTAAAAACCTTGCCGACCCCAAACTTTGAAACAGTGGTGTAACTTACGTTAATGTAATTTTAATTAAATGTGTTTTATCTTAATCTTTCTGTCTCAGTTCCCCCTGCTGAAGCCCAGTGGCAGAACACCATCTCTGAGAGAGGGGAAGTGGTCTGTCCCACCTGCTCTGTTGTCACTCGCAAGACCGTCCACGGTCTCAAGAAGCACATGGAGATCTGTCAGAAGGTCAGAGGTCACTCTGAAACACACTATTGTCATTATTACAGCACTAGCGTAGGCTTAGAGGAACACATTATTTTATAAATTACTCTCAAGATTCTCAGTGGACAGATTTGTTTAAAGGTGAAGATAAGGTTGCTTTGGGCATCCCAACTAGCCCAGCCAATGGAGTTTACATCAATGGAGTTTCTTTATCCGTTAGCAAACAAGAAAAGTGTTCAGGAAACCTATTGGAAAACAGTCATTATTTTGGTGGTGCCAGTGGCACAGAATGACTTACTTTACCCTTGAATCAAACACATTGGTCTCTGTTTAAGAAACTTTTTACCTTTCTTAAGATATTGACCGCAATTCCCTAATTCTAAGGTCTTGTACCTCAGTTATTGGTAACCCAAGCGTCCCATGTGGAGTCTTCTTACGACCGCGTTCCTCTAAAGAAGGCAACATCTGTCTCAGTTTTCTAAACACATCAAACGTAATGTGGCAGATGTGCTCAAGCTCTTCCATATGAAGAAGCACAAAGCCTTATTCATGAAACTCAAGCAGAAAGAATTTCTGACTGTAAATCGTATGTAAAACCATTTGTACATAAATTGCCGTACCCAGTTCATTGGGGTGGTTTATGTAAGAACGGATTTATGAGCGATTTTCACAGAAATTTGTTCCGCTTGCGTTTTGTGAATGAGGCTCAAAGAATGAAACCTTTAATGTATGACTCTCTCTCTGTTATTTATACAACCAAACGGCAGAGGAAGCAGAGAGGAGAATGTTTCAGGCGTGCAATTAGACACCTCTCTCTCAGGACCTCGCGCAGGGGGCCAGAGGGAGCCATTAGGGGCACTTTATTGATTGGGCGTCTGTGAGTGACCCTGCCTTGTGTGCATCTGGAGTTGAGTATTATAGTGCCAGCCCAGTGTATAGCACAACTCTATAAAAATGATGACATGTTTATTAAAGGGGGAATCGATTGGCTGCGTTATTGTGGGGTCACAAGTAATTGTAGTTTCTCTGGCCTCTTCCTCAGCCCTGTGAGAAAACAATGATGGCTGTGATGGGCATTAAGCGAGAAGACATTTTATGGCAAAGTAAATTCATTAAAATTATAAATCATTGACCTTATTTTCTCATTTGTGTTTTTGTGAATGTCAATGCAGAAATAAATAATTTTATTTTGCAAGGATGCATTAAATTGATCAAGTGCCAGTAATAACATTTATAATGTTACAAAAGAAGCAGCATAACTCTTTTCAACATTGATAATAATAAGAAATGTTTCTTGAGCAGCAAATCATCATATTAGAATGATTTATGAAAGGTCATGTGACACTGAAGGCTGATGCTGAAAAGTCAGCTTTTCATCACAGGAATAAATTACATTTTATAGTATGTGACCCTGGACCACAAAAGCAGTCAATTTTTCGAAATTGAGATTTATACATCATATGAAAGCTGTATTATCCAATATTTGGCTGAGATACAACTATTTGAAAATCTGGAATCTGAGGGTGCAAAAAAATCTAAATACTGAGAAAATCGCCTTTAAAGTTGTCCAAATCAAGTTCTTAGCAATGAAAGTTAAGTTTTGATATATTTACGGTAAGAAATTTACAAAATATCTTCATGGAACATGATCTTTACTTAATATCTTAATGATTTTTGGCATAAAAGAAAAATTTATAATTTTGACCCATACAATGTATTTTTGGCTATTGCTACAAATATACCCCAGCGACTTAAGACTGCTTTTGTGCTCCAGGGTCACATATATTCAAATAGAAAACTATTATTTTAAATTGTAATAAAAATTCCACAATATTACTGTTTTTTCTGTATTTTTTATTTAATAAATGCAGACTTTGTGAGTATAAGAGATGTCTTTCAAAAACTCTGGCAAAAAGCAAATTGTGGACAGAAATTGTCCTCTGATTTTCTCCCCAAAGTGTTCATAGAACAAAAGCTACTTTTTGCTTGGCATTGTACAATTTTCACATACCTAGAAAGTGAATCCTGCATCAGATATTCACATGCTTCACTGCAGAATACAATCCATCTGAGAATACAGATTTCACTCGCTTCAATGCAAATAACTGAATGCTTTGTCAATAAATTAATTTTGTCTCTGCCATGAACTGAATAGGGCTGCATTTCCCAGAAGCTTCGTAAGCCTAAGAAGTTCGTAAAAACGATCGTACGACTGATCTTATGTTACGGTCTGTTTCCCAAAAGCATCGTAACTTAAGTAGCACTTTAAAATCATCGTAGATCTACGAGTGCTCTGGAGTAATCGTAAAGCTCTCAGTGCATCGTAAGAAGACAGATTTATGCGGTCACCTGCCGGACAATCGGCAGATTGCACCTTTAACTTTATTCAAGTGCAATGTGATTATAATATAAGGATTTGATTGTACTTTATTGTACACTTTATTACTTGTTTTTTTTTATTAATTTATAACTGAAATAATTAAAAGGAGCAGAAAAATAGAAATACACATCTAAATTAAATGACTGAACAAAAAAATTAATAAAAGAATTAATGTAGGAAATATGCTTCAAAGACTGGGGGAAAAAATCTGTCAATGACTTGCTGATGTGCATGAAAACCAGCCATGTATTGGACCCGGAAATAATGTCTGTCTCTCTGTCTCTCTCTCTCTCTCTCTCTCTCTCTCTCTAAAGTATATTATATATTATGTAAAGTATAATATAATATAATATTGTATTATAGTTATTATATCCGAGTTGTCTGGAACGCAGCATTAGGTTAACATTCCAATAAACAAGTGTTTACTACAATTACGAGCCATTCATTTCAGCACTTGACAAAATGGATAGCGACTCCTAAGTAGCACTTAAAGCACAGCTACGTGTGATTGTGTTAAGTGCATTTTTGGGAAACGCACGTGAAACAATAACGAACGAACGTAAATTGACTAGTAGAAAACGCTCTTAAAGGGATAGTTCACCCAAAAATGA